CCCCAAAACCCCAAAACCCCAAAACCCCGCAATGAGTATTATATGATACATTAGAGAATTTAATGAAATTAACAAATAAGATAAGGTTTAAAATAGCTTTTTGTCAAATAGGATAGGATACTCCAAATATAAATCTGACAATAGCTCCTAACCTATAACCCAAGGATTTGCAATCAGCACCTGGTATAGTAGCAGCTAAGACTGTAATTGTGTTCATTTTTGCTTTGAAATTTGTTTAAACTATGGGTTGATTCAAAGGGTCACTTAACATCGTAACTATAGTATTGGGTATCGACATTATTGTTTCATCTTGAAACACTCTATCAAGATTAATGTAGAAATCAAAGAACATTAGGAATATTGAAGTTAGTGAAGCCAGAATAATGAAAATAGATTGCTTCAGAATTGCATCTTTATTAATCCATGTATCTCGTACTTCTACGATATAAACATATCCACGATTAACTCCTTAAACATTTGTGGCAAATGATGCACATTTTGGACAATTTTATAATTTTTAGTTGTAAAGTCCTTCCATAAAACCATAAGAGATATTATACCAGTTTGGTTGATCATACCCGAAAAAACTAATGTTGCAATTATTGGTTGCTTTGACAGAGGATATACTACAGCAAAAAGCAATTGCTAAAAATAATAATATATCAATTTTGTGAAAATTGGTTCTCATTTTTTTACAAATTATTAATAGTTTAAAATACTAATATTGATACAATGTTAATGAAATTAATTTACGAATCAATAGCATTTATTCAAGTTTAATGAGTGAATCAATCAAAAGAAATATTAAACACTTTTCTAAGGGCAATGCCCCCTCTTATTCCAAGGGATTTGCAAGAAGCTCCTGGCGCTGTTTGAGCCAATAAATACAGGCTTTGAATGTTATTCATTACATTATCTCTTAGTTAAGCTGTAAAACCGTCATCCAATCTTCCAACTAATTAGTTAATGATATTTCTAACATCAGCATTTCTGAATAGCTAATCTAGTAGGATACCTAGATTCCAGAAAATAGCAAACATTGAAGAGTAGAATAAAAGTTTATTTCCAGCATTTAAACTGTTTATATATGTTTAATTAGTCCATTAAGGTCTTACAGCTTCTACTCTAATAAACATCACTTATATATTCCCAGTGAGATTTCCAAGTAAATTACAAAGAGTGCAGTTGGAGCTAACCGACTGATTTTTATACAGACCTAGAATGAATCCGAATCCAATATCCTTAAAATTCTACTCATTTTCTACCTGCAATTAGACATTACAGCTCTAGGCCTCAGTATTACTGAGGAAAATAAGGAATAATAGAAGTGCAGAAATTTGTATTTGCTTGTATTTCATTTTTAGTTTTATATAAATCTACCTGATCTTATATTATTTAGGTAAGATGGGGTTTTGGGGTTTTGGGG